TTGCAACCAACTACCATGATCAAACAGCTTAGGAAACCACACCCCATCACACCTTTCTGACACCAGAACTGAGGGAGCTGTATCTGACCATTTCTGTTACTTTCCAAAAATCAACAATTTGACATCACACCCTGGTCTCTTCAGTATTTGGATATCACTCCACCACAGTGTGGCAGCTATGAACACTTCTGCCTTCTGATGCAGTTGGACAGTTTTTGAACACACCCCTTCGGCTGTAGAGGTGCCTGTAAAGGTCTGAGGCAGATTTAACATCCAAATAGGTTAAAGGTCACAAAAATCACAAAGGCACATGGTCTAGATGGTTTCTGCAGGATTCCACTAGTTCAATGTAAGGAAAACTGAAAATCGTCGTACAAGTACAAGTATGACTGATATAAGGAAACCAGAGGAGAAGATGTAGTTGAGATGTAATCAAGTTGAGAATAACCCTTGAAATGTTATCTCTCAACTACAGATAGAAATAGTCTCCATGGTAGTGTTCAATGAACGTTAACACCATTAATACCTACATAAATATATTTTACCTGCTGGTAGTGTGAGATGAAAAGTCAGAAACTGATGGTCAATTCCTACAGGAGCATAGAGAGCATGTTCACCAACTGTGCCATGGTGTGGTTTGCCAGCTGCATTATTGGGATGGAGCTCCCGACCCTGGACACTCCGAGGGCCGGCTAAAGATGAAGGCTGGCAGCATCTTCAGGGTTGATGCACACCCGAGACACTCCCTGTTCAAATCACTGCCATCCGGTTCAGGACATTAAGATCCACCACCAACAGACTGAGGAACAGTTTCTATCCTATAGAGCTGCAGCCTCCATCAACCCCTCCCTACCCAAACACACCAAAGACTTAAATACACCTTCAGAGACTGTGGAGTATAATAAATATGCCTTCTTCTGTTTTCTGTATATAATCACTTGCTGCTTTCATGCTGTTATATCTCTATATTTTTATACATATATATTTTGACTGGAGAAAGAGGCCTTTTACAATTTTATTGTAGCTGAAGATAATGACATTAAAGGTTTCTAAATTGAATTTGAAGAACACCAAAGTCATAGGGCTTCAATCCCCCGAGCTTGATAGATACAGTATCTCTCCGGAATTTCATGGTAATCCTTTCAATAGTTGAAAAGCTGAGGTATTTCAGCTGGATCCAAAGTTGTGGATGGACTCACTACAGCTGCTTGCTGTAGAAGCCATGCAGACATTCCCTGGCAATGGCTTCAGAGATTTCACATAAAAATTCTGCCAAGTGATTTTATTAATGACGCTCCTATACTTAAACACTTGGCTGTGCATGGTGGGGAATTCAATACATGCTTTATA